ATTTGGCATGTACTCATATACCAAGAGGAGATCATTCTTCTTGTGACACCAACCTGTAAGTTTTACCAAATTCCTATGCCTCAATTGGCTAATGATGTTCACTTCAGCTACGTACTGCTTTATGCCCTGTCTTGAATTTGCTGATATCCTCTTTATAGCAGCATAGGAGTTTGAGTCTTTCAAATAGCCTTTATAAACACCGCCAAAACCACCTTGCCCAAGCTTGTGTGTCTCATCGAAGTTGTTTGTCGCAGATGCCAATTCATAATAACTAATCTTTTTAGGTCCAGTGCTGCTTTGGAAGAATTCAGCATCCATCTTCAGATCAGAAGTGGTTTCTGAAGTGGGTTCTTCTTCTTTTCCTTTATTCATCTTGCATAATAAAATGATGACAAGCCCTAATAAACTCAAAGACAAACCTACACCAATTCCTATTCCCTCCAATATGTCGTTTAACTTTCTTTCCTTCACAGGATCGGCATCAATTGCAAGGGCTGTAGCAAATGACCATGAAAGCAGGGTATGTTTATCATAATTTGCACTTGCTGCAGCTGATATGCCAACAAAAACAGACTCTGGTAAGTGCTCTGTGATATCAATGTGGTATGAAAGGTATTTTGTAGGGTGTTGTTTTACATGCCCATCATTTGATGCATACCCAGTGAAAGAAACATTTAGAATACTATTTCTAGAATTGTATTGAATAGTAATGTTATAAACTTTGCAAAAAAGCTGGTTCACTTGCCCTGCCCTTGATCCGACCTTGACCCGACCCATAAATACCCATATTTTTTGAACTGGTTTAAATACTGACTCACTTTTATTTGGGTCAGTTTTAGACCTGACTCGTTTTAATATTGACCCACTGACCCAAAACTTAACCCATACCCATTATGTGAAAAAAAAAATCACAATTACATTAAAAGAAAAGTTTTAAAGTAAAACAATTACGTCAAAATTTTTTATGGAAAATATTTTCATAAAAATTTTACAGATTTCAAATTTCTGTGAAAGTTTTCAACGGAAATATTTCCGTCATCAAAGAATTTTGACGGCAAAAAATTTCATCAAAGTTCTTTACAGATTTCAAATTTTGGCGAAAGTTTTCGACCGAAACATTTTTGTCATCAAAAATTTTTGACGGCAAAAAATATCGACGGCAAAAAATCTCATCAAAATTCTTTACAGATTTCAAATTTCGGCGAAAGTTTTCGACGGAAATATTTTCGTCATCAAAAAATTTTGACGGCAAAAAGTTTCATCAAAATTCTTTACGAATTTCAAATTTTGGCGAAAGTTTTCGACGGAAACATTTTCGTCATCAAAAAATTTTAACGGCAAAAAATTTCATCAAAGTTCTTTACAGATTTCAAATTTCGGCGAAAGATTTCAACAGAAATATTTTCGTCATCAAAAAATTTTGACGGCAAAAAATTTCATCAAAATTCTTTACAGATTTCTAATTTTGCCGAAAGTTTTCGACGGAAACATTTTCGTCATCAAAAAATTTTGACGGCAAAAATATTCATCAAAATTCTTTATAGATTTCAAATTTCGGCGAAAGTTTTCGACGAAAAAATTTTCGTTAAATTTTTTGACAAAAAAAAAATTTTCGTCAAAATTTTTAGCGAAACACATTTCCATCGAAAATTTTCAACTAAATATTTTCGTCAAGTTTTTTGATAAAAAATTTCCATCAAAATTTTCAACGAAACACATTTCTATAAAAAAATTTCGTAAATTTTTTTGACAAAAAAAACATTTTGACGAAAAAAATATTCTGTCAAAATTCTTTAGAGAATCTAAATTTCGTCGAAAGTTTCAAATGAAACATTTCCCTCGAAATAATTTTCGTCAAAATTTTCGTTAGAACACATTCCCATTGAAATTTTGAACGAAAAACATTCCGTTAAATTTTTTGACAAAATTCTTTTTTCGTTTAAAACATTTGATGGAAGAAATCATTTTCGTCAAAACTGTTGACGGAAACTAAATTTCAATAGAAAATTTTTTTTTGGTACAAATTTCGACGAAAAAATAATTTTGTGACGAAATTTTCGTCTTTTGCAACGTAAAAATTTCGACAAAATTTTGTGAGAAAACCAAGTCAAAAACGGGTCAGGTCAGATGTGACCCAGTTCAGAAACCAAGTCAGACCCACTTTAGAAACCAAGTCAGGTCAGATCCAAACTGGTTCTGAACTAGTTCAACAAAATACAATCCAAGTCAGACCTGACTTGGATTAAATTAAAGCGGGGCGGGTCAAAATACCTGACCTATAAAAACCAAGTTGGGTCGAGTCGGACAAAAACCTGACCCAACCTGACCCATGCACAGTCCTATTATAAACTTCCCCATTTGGAATATCTGGCAACCATTCATGAAATTTGTCAGACTTCATACTGTTGACATTCACCCCCACGTGTGGGTACGGTGGGTCCCACCGGTCTGAGTAAGTGTCAAACTCCACTGCCACAAACTCATACTCAGCTGGGATAAATGTTTTGGTATGCTGATCCACAAAACCAACGCCAAGGGCCCCTAGTGAAAATGAATCATTTGCATTTGGGAAATTTGGGCTTGCTAGGAAGAATGTCAAACCATCTCCATAAGCACTGTGATTATTTGAGTAAACACGGAAGGAAAAATCAGTTTTGAAGTCTTTTTGTTCATTTGAGCTCTTGTTCCAAAGATGAATGGGGTTGGAACTTGTGACCCGACCAACACTCCCAATCCAGTTATTGCTGAATATGTTATCTCCGTTAACTGTGAGTTGGACGACAGTATCTGAAATAGAAGCATCTCCTTCCAGCTTTAAATGCTTTGGATCAACATGTACAAAGTTGGGGTAATCAAAAGACACAAGCTGAGAGTGTACAAGAGGGATTATTAGGAAGAATAAAATGGTTCCCCTTGCATAACACAACAGAGGAGTTGTTGCATCGAGGGCATTAACCCAAGCACAACCAGCCATTGCTAAGTGAGAGTTATGTTTTAACTTGAAGCCTAACACTTTCGTGTTTGTATTTATCTATTATTCTTATTTGTCATTTTATCTAACTTTCTTAGTAATTTGCGTTGTTAGAATATAATATAAGAGAAGATGTTATACTTACTACTAAAAAGTTTTACAACTTTTATTACTAAATTAATTATCGTTGATTTTGTCAATCTAACCGTTATAATTTATTGAAAATTAATAATTAATTAATAAGTGTATCCAATAAATTATAACCGATTGACATAAATTAATGGTGATTAATTTAATAGTAAGAGTTGTAAAAATTTTCAGTAAAAAGTATAACTGCCCCCTAATATACATCATTAAAGAGGTCATCACCTAACAACTTAAGCTTTTGGATTAAATTGATTCTTTACACGGTATCATAGTGATGTCCTGGGTTCGATCCTAGCGGCCCCCATTTTTTTTATGGAATTTCTTAGCATTGGTAAGTTGGGTCTGTCACATCATCCATCTATCAAGCCCAAAAAACTTTTATGTGAAAAAATGTGTTAGAATATAATATAAATTATTAAAGAGCTTTCACCTAACCTCTTAAAATTTGTGGGTTGGAGTGATTTTTTAGCTGCCTAATTGAATACCGTTGTCTCAACTCTAAACAGTGGGTTGAATATTCCTTCGTACACAACTCACTATGCCATAAAAATGGAGCAGCGATCACAACCCCTGGAATATCCTTCCGGTGCTGAATAAGACGGCAATATTCGTAGTTATAGCGTCTTACCAGTAATTAGAGACAAATTAACTTGGCTGTGTTTTGTTAACCGAAATGTTCAGGAAACAAGAAAGCAAATGCATTGTTTTTGTTACTTTTAAAAATATTTAACAATGTAGAAATAAAGAAGAAAAGTTTCAAAAAGACATCTCTCTTTTTAAATGAGTGTCTTTTGGCAGTATTTTCTTAGAAGTTAGAATTAACCAACACTCACGCCGTCTTTAGAGATTAAGGGTGTGCATGACAACCTTTCTGGAATTATTATTATTTTTTTATAATTTATGTTTCCGGGAACAGAAATGAATAGAAAACTCGTTTGTTAAAATTGGTTTATTTTTTTATTCCCGGAATGAACCAGTTTAATTTTTGTGCTATGGAACAAAAAAAAAAGAATCAAAAAAAAAAATTCTGTTATTTTGTTCCCGGGCACAAAATAAGAAACACTTATTTTTCTCAATTACTCTCCAGTGTTGGAATTTTTAATTCCTTTAAACTTTATGGTGATAACTATCACCTACAAGCCAAGATCCATCATACCAAATTATAAAGAAAAATAAGAACAACATAAAGGTGGAGGAATACCTGTCTCCATTGCAGCAGAATAACTTTGATCTTGTCTCTTGGGGTTTGTAGTCTTCCTCAGTCAAATCATCCTAAAACTGAATTCCTTAGTGTGACGTCTCTCTCTTGATGGGGAAGAGAAACTAGGGTTGTTATTTAATATATTGGGGACCATAACCCTTTTTTATAGTATTTTTATCTTTATTGTTGGGCGAATAAGCTCCCATTATACCTAGTTGGCCCAACACCGGTATCTACTCATTCAGCCCATACTCACTTAGGAATCTATTTGGGAATATTTAACTGATCACTTTAATTTACCCAATATATATAAATAGCACAATATAATTATTAATATAATATGTGACCCACAATAATTATTAGAAAATATAATTTCCTAACAATCTCCCACTTGGGCCACATATTAACTTGAGATAATTATATCGTATATCTTTAGTGCGCAACTGTATGCTATTTTTCTTTAGATTCCTCCTTAGATACAATCTGGTCCACCTTCTATATCAATATGAGATCATGGCGGCTTTTGTCACTTTCAAGCGTAACTAAACCTTCCATGGTCATCGCACCAATATAGTCAATGACATAGATCAAGTATGGATGAATGGCATGGAAATTACGTGCAATGTGATCTTACCATGCTTATTTCCAACTGGTCCTACTTTAATCTTTATGAGATCAATCCTAAATTTTCTGCATACACAATGCAGAAACACAAGCACAAAATATAATACATTCAGAGGGAAAATATCATTGAATTCTTTATTCTGCAGAAAACAAACATAAGAATATTTCATTTCTTTATTTACATAGAACACCAACATAAAGAACTCCCACTAAACCGTAGTGTCATCGAACAAAACAACACCCATATGAGCAGTATGCTCGTGAAAGACCTTAGGCACTAAGCCTTTAGTAAGCGGATCCGCAAGCATGGAGTTCGTCCCTATGTGTTCTATGGAAATCTGACCACTCTGAACTCTTTCTTTAACAACCAGAAACTTTATATCGATGTGCTTCGATTTTGAAGAGCTTCTGTTGTTGATGGAGTACAACACTGCTGACCTATTGTCACAATAAATCTTCAGTGGCCTTTCAACACCACTCACTATATGCAGCCATGTGACAAAGTTTCGCAGCCATACCCCATGGTTGGATGCCTCAAAACAAGCTACAAATTCAGCGGCCATAGTAGAGGAAGCTACGAGTGTCTGTTTAACACTCTTCCAAGAAATAGCTCCTCTAGCCAACATGTAGACATAACTTGACGTGGATCTTTTACTATCTTGGCATCCAGCAAAATCAGAGTCAGTATATCCGACGATCTCTAATTCATCTGACCTCCGATATGTAAGCATATAATCTTTAGTTCTCTTTAAATACCGCATAACCCTCTTGGCTGCTTTCCAATGACCCATTCCTAGATTGCTCAAGTATCTTCCTAACACTCCCACTATAAATGCTATATCAGGGCGAGTACAAACCTGGGCATACATAAGGCTTCCTACTGCCGAAGCATAAGGTACCTTTGTCATTTCTATCATCTCAAGCTTACCTTTAGGGCATTGGGCGAGACTAAACTTGTCTCCCCTAGATATGGGCGTATCTCCTGACGAACAATCCTTCATGCCAAATTTATCCAAAATCTTTTCAATGTAGGCCTTTTGTGATAACCGTAGGATACCTTGAGCGCGATCTCGAAGTATCTGTATTCCTAAGACAAAAGATGCATCACCAAGGTCCTGAAAGTAGAAATGGCCTTGAAGGCCGAAACATGCGTGAGGGAAAAACAAATTTTTTTCGCAAGCGGAACACACATGCATATCAAGATACATACTTTAAGACGTATGTCATACCTTGTTCGTGAAAACTCAAGATGATCAAGGTAGGTCTGAAGGGTTCAGACCCTCTAACGTTGACCCACACCACCCGCGTCTAGATACAAGAACTCCTTCCAGTAAGGCCGCCGATTGATCACCACAATAAGGCTTGCTATGCGCTCAGTGTGTGATGCAGGAGGCTAGGTAAAAGTGTTTAGAAGAGTGAAGTGTTCTAAGAGAAAACCTCACAAGGGGCGCATAGATGAGTAGAGAAAGGCTTGGCTTTTTCACCAAAAACTAAGGAGGAACTAACTGCTACTTAAGCACACAAGAGGAGCCTTTTAAGTTTCAAAACAAATCAAATTTTTCTCCCAAAAATCTGATCAAGGTGGCGCCCTATGGGGAGAGAATAAGTGGAGTTGTTGCATTTCAAAAATTGCCAACAACATCCCAGAATATTCTCATGAGACTAAGTTCAATACCTAGTCAGAAATCTGATCATGAACCATCATATAATCAGCTATATGGTGCGCCCCATATAGCCTAAAAGGTGACCAGATACATTTGAGTTAGTTGCATTTCAAACTTAAAGCAACTCACTCAAATATTCTCCCAACAGACCGTATCTTCTGGAGCTGATTTTGATGATCAAATCTAGCCAAAATCAGCACCCCATTATCCTTGGATTATGTCCAAAAGATCTCCTCCTGATATGTTCCAACAAGATCTCATCTTATCCTTTTGTTATGAAACAACTTTTCATAGCCAATTCAAATTCGAATTTCAAACATTTGAATTCAAACTTTCAAACACTTAAATTTTAAATTCAAATTCAAATTCAAAATTCAAAATTCAAAATTCAAAATTCAAAATTCAAAATTCAAATTCAAAATTCAAAATTCGAATTTCAAAATTCAAATTTCAAATTCAAAATTCAAAATTCGAATTTCAAAATTCAAATTCAAAATTCAAATTTCAAATTTCAAATTCAAAATTCAAAATTTAAACATTTGATAATTAATTTAACTAATTAAATTAATTAGTAATGTCTTGGACTATCCAAGCCCATTACTTTGATCCATGCGCCCTCCACCCTATCTGTGGAGTTCCAAACTGCTTCTTGGGCTAATAACAATTGTTAGGCCCAATACCTTTAATGCTAGAGCATCTAGACAATTAGGTGTTAGTGTGTGACCCATTAGGTCTAACATAGCCACTGACATAAATGGGCTTGGGCCCAATAAGCCCACAACCCATCTAATGACAACACAGAGCACTAGCAATGCTTTGTTGCCCCAGAACTAGTTAGATTAATGACTTGATCATCCTATTACACATATTTGGTTGCCGTATATATTTCCTTTCGTCTCGGTTACCTTCCCATAAAACCTAGGGTAAGGAAGCGTATCAACCCTTGCGGTTTAGGCTAAACTTTATTTGAAATAGGGAATCTTCAATTTACAGACTCTAAAGGCAAATCATCTTATGATCTCTTTTACTATGCATAGATTCCCGAGTCCCTGTAAATGTTATCCCGATTTCTCCGGTTTACAGATAACCTAATCTCTCACAGAGATTTGATGAATTCCTTCAGCTTATCACCCTAGCCCTGTGTTCTTTCAGGACAAGCCCAACAGTATACCTATGAGTCTCCATGTTTCAGGCAGACGAGGTGCACAATCAAAACATGCCTTCTAGAACACAGTCTAGGTAATAACTTCTGGTCTTAGGAAAGACATACCCAAATATAAAGAGACTAATCTAATGATACTCTCTGTGAGAGTTCCTCATAGAGTCTCTTTGTGGGTCTATTCAGTGCGAGCTATACCCTTATAGGTCCACCCACGACTTTAGCTAAGACATCTCCATATCTGTAGCTCATGAGGTCTTTACCTTGCATCCAAATACAAGTAGATAAGTCGTGCTAGTCTTACCCGAGATCACTGATCCCCATTCTCAGTGTCTCTAGACTAGGAACATAGCATTAGGAATAAACATGCAGTATCCTTGAATCCTCATGATCGTGATCTCATCACAGATACTCAAGAGATACCTATTTTATTCCAAGGGGTTTATCCAGTTACTCATATAAATATTAATAGTAATATTGAGACAAAATATGAAACAGGATAAATAGTGCTTTTATTTGCGACAATATAAAAGGTCTACATATGTCCTAATCTAATCAAAAGATTGTCTCTAGGACATCCATATACTAACAGGTCCTTCATCTCAAAAATTTTAGTGAGAAGTTTCTTGGTTTCATGCAATAAGCCTATATCGCTACTGGCAAGTAAGATATCATCAACATATAGTATCAGGAATATGAATTTACTCCCACTGAACTTGTGATACACACAATCTTCCACTAAGTTCACCTCAAAGCCATAGGAGATAATAACCTGATGGAATTTGTGGTACCATTGACGAGAAGCTTGCTTAAGGCCATATATGGACTTTTTTCAATTTGCAAACCATAGACTTTGAATCTCCCAATACAAAGTTTTCTGGTTGCACCGTATAAATTGTCTCATCAATGTTACCATTGAGAAACACTGTCTTTACGTCCATCTGATGTAGCTCCAAATCCAAATGAGCCACAAGCGCCATTATTGTCCTAAAGGAGTCCTTCGTAGAAACCAGAGAGAAAGTCTCTTTATAGTCTATGCCTTCTTTCTGAGTGAAACCTCTAGCAACTAGACGTGCCTTATATCTTTCGATGTTGCCATTTGAATCCCTTTTGGTTTTAAATATCCATTTACAACCATTGGGTTTCACATCTTTAGGCAACTCAATAAGATCCCAAATGTCATTGTCTTTCATAGATTGCATCTCATCTTTCATGGAATCAATCCATTTATGAGCATTAGAGCTTTCTAAGACTTGTTGGAAGTTGATTGGATCATCTTCCTTCAAGCTTAAAATATTTTCATGCTCTTGAAGAAACACAATATAATCATCCGGAATTGCATTTCTCCTTTCTCTAGTGGATCTCCTTAATGGCACTTCTTGAGTTTGTTGAGTTTGTTCTATAGGTGGCATAGGGGGTGATTCATTATTGTCTTGACCCAAAGCAATGTCAGATATCACAGCCTGTTCCATAACAATGTTATGAACAGGGACCTGATCATTAATTGCTTGTTCCGTAATTGCATCTTGAATGATGACAATATTAGGAAGAGAAATATTATTTTCTTCCTTATCAAAGACAACATTCCTTATTTTATCTTCCCCCCAAACTCAACATCCTCAAGGAATCTGGCATTTCCCGTCTCCAAAAAGGATCTTGTAGTGGGATTATAAAACTTAAAGCCCCGAGAGCGTTCAACATATCCAACAAAATAGCAGCTGATTGTTCTTGAGTCCAACTTTCTTTCATTTGGCCTATAAGGCCTTACTTCTGCTGGACAACCCCAAATGTGTAAATGCCTTATGCTAGGTTTCTTTCCATTCCATAGCTCATAAGGGGTTTTTGTCACTGCTTTGCTGGGAACCCTATTAAGGATATAAACTGCAGTCTTTAGTGCTTCTCCCCAAAGTGATTCTGGCAATGAAGAATGACTAAGCATACTCCTCACCATGTCTTTAAGAGTCCGGTTTCGCCTTTCCGCAACACCATTCATGCTAGGTTTACCTGGCATTGTGTATTGCGGCACGATTCCATACTCCTTTAGGAAGATCGCAAAGGGCCTTGGACGTTGTTCACCCGATCCATCAGATCTACCATAGTATTGACCACCACGATCAGATCTGATGGCCTTAATTTTCTTGCCTAACTGAAGTTCAACTTCAGCTTTAAATTCTTTGAACACATCCAATGATTGTGACTTCTCTCTAATCAAATATAGGTATCCAAATCTTGAATAGTCGTCTATGAATGTGATAAAGTATTGTTGACCATTCCAAGAGGCTATAGAAAATGGTCCACAAATATCCGTATGAATCAATTCTAAGACGTCTGAAGCTCTGTTGGAACCTATTTTCCTTATATTTGTCTGTTTCCCCTTTATGCATTCAATGCACACCTCAAAAACATCCAGATCAAGGGGTTCAAGAATTCCATCAGTCACAAGCCTCTGAATTCTCTGTTTAGAGATATGACCTAAACGCTTGTGCCACAGAACCAGTACCAACAAACTAAAGTGAGAGTCATACCCTTCTTTTCGCGCCATGCCTAGTATTTGGAACACTCTTTCTTCATGTGTCCAGATTTCTTACAAAAGAAGCAGGTGAATTCCTGGTCCTGCTTCTTTTGCTTCTTTGGCAAAGCATCTGCATTATCCTAAGCTCTCTTTCTTTTCATGTCTTGAGAGGTTGATGCGAAGTGAGCACTATCAGTCTTCTCTCGCTGTAACCTCTCTTCCTCTTGCACGCAGTGAGAAATGAGCTCATTAAGAGTCCATTTCTCCTTTTGAGTGTTATAACTCACCACAAATTGACTGTATTGTGCAGGAAGAGAGATAATAACTAAGTACATAAGCAACTCATAGGGCAGCTCTAACTTTAATGCCTTTAGTTTTCCAGCAAGATTAGACATTTCCATAATATGCTCCCTTATGTTTCCCTTTCCTTTATACCGCATGTTTATGAGTTTGGACAAGGTTTGACCAATTTCAGCCTTTTCATTTCGAGCAAAGTATTGCTCGAGTTCCTTCAGAAACAACTTGGCATCAGTAGTCTCAACAATCGAGCCCCTAAACGCCTCCGGAACGCAACGTTTCATGATCATCAGACACATGCGATTTGAGCGTTCCCACTTCTCAATTTTATCCGTTTTTGGATTTTCCTGAGTGGAAGTGGGTTTCTCAGTCCTTAGCGCATTGTCGAGATCCATGTGGCCGAGAACAATTTTCACATTCTCTTTCCACAACTTGAAATTTGCCCCATTAAGCATTGGAAGCATATTCATTTGAGCAACATAATTGGCAGCGGTAGCAGAAACTATACAGAGAACCAATAAAGATAACATACTAATAACATGTCATATCATATATATTCATACACGATATAGACAAATAATCCGAAGTAAAATGAGTTTATTATAAGATACCTAGCACAACATTAATATTTAGTCTGTGGACAAAAATATCAACTTGTAAGTGGTACTCTTAATGTAGTAATCAAACATTGACAATAAGTCCTGTCAAATCATAGCCTTCCTGTGGGCCGACTATGAATTACATGGAGAATTCTTGATAATTGTCACATATTTATTACCACAGGTATGTTTGTTACTTGGCCAAATAATAATCTTCCGGTGGGCCGATCATTATCCGCATAAGCAATAAACACACACATGATCACACAACATATATTATTTGACCAAACAATAACCTTCCTGTGGGCCGATTATTATTTGCATAAATAAAATATATTTATATGACCAACCTATTTGAAATCAAATTAACCTTTATAAATTTGGCCACTGTGGCGGCTAACAAATCTATCATATTTAATTTCAAATAGAAACCTTTAGGGATAATAAACCTATTTAAAAACAAAATAACAACAATAAAGAAAATTATTCTTTATCAATTCTCAATGTATATAAATATACATATTGTATCATTATATCATTATATCAATAACAATAAATACCTTTTCATTATAAGGCTTAAAAATTAATGCACAATCGACGCACATGTAAGTCTTTTCAAATGAAAGCTTGAAAATGATGCACACAATAAATACCTTTTCATTATAAGGCTTAAAAATTAATGCACAATCGACGCACATGTAAGCCTTTTCAAATGAAAGCTTGAAAGTGATGCACAATACCCAAAAATTTAAATTTGGCTTTTGACAAAGAATATCAAATCTAAAAGAAAATCTCAAAACCAAAGACCTTAAACATTCGATTTCTTTCAAACTATAAGTCCAAAACATTCTAAGAGAATTCATTGTTTATTCAAAAAATTCAAAGAACAAAACCTCATCGATTATAAAGCCAAAATTCTTCCAAACATTCCATCTATTCACAGATTCAAAATTTAAATAATAAACCCTTATTAAACTGTGAATCCTAGTTTTTTTTTTTCTAAAAAATGTAGCTTTTGTTCCAAAACCAAAAAATCACCGTCAGGGAACAAAAATAACACTACATAGCTAATACAAAATACATAAGATGGAACCCATGTTCAAAAAATAATAAACTTTATGCCAAAAGACAATAAAGCAAAACTTTTCATGATTAATCATATATAAAAAATCACAAAACTTAATTCCCTCATAATTCAATATGACGATGGCTCAGATACCAATTGTTGGAATTTTTAATTCCTTTAAACTTTATGGTGATAACTATCACCTACAAGCCAAGATCCATCATACCAAATTATAAAGAAAAATAAGAACAACATAAAGGTGGAGGAATACCTGTCTCCATTGCAGCGGAATAACTTTGATCTTGTCTCTTGGGGTTTGAAGTCTTCCTCAGTCAAATCACCCTAAAATTGAATTCCTTAGTGTGCCGTCTCACTCTTGATGGGGAAGAGAAACTAGGGTTGTTATTTAACATATTGGGGACCATAACCCTTTTTTATAGTGTTTTTATCTTTATTGTTGGGCCAATAAACTCCCATTATACCTAGTTGGCCCAACACCGGTATCCACTTATTCAGCCCATACTCACTTAGGAATCTATTTGGAAATATTTAACTGATCACTTTAATTTACCAAATATATATAAATAGCACAATATAATTATTAATATAATATGTGACCCACAATAATTATTAGAAAATATAATTTCCTAACATCCAGCACTATCATCATTATCATCACCACCATCATCCCGACATGACCACCGCCACTATCTGCCACTGTCGTTGTACCACCAATGTCGTCGTCACCACCACAACGCCACCGCCACCACGGGGCCATCGCCACCGCCACCACGGGGCCATCGCCATCGCCACCAGAAAAAAATCAATTTGTAAATTATTTCTTTTATATTTAGTTAACAAAATAAAAATTAAGATTTAAAAAAAAAAAAACGTGTCCGAGCGTGTCCTAACGTTGACTGCGTGTCCAAAAAAGTTGATTGCGTGTCGAAAAAAACGTGTCGGAGAGTTGACTACGTGTCCTTAAACCCTATTGCTCAGTAATAAATAATCCATACATGCTCAGAGCAGAGAAAACAACCAAGAAAAAAAGTGGATTAGTGAAGAGAAGAACCACCACAGCGAAGGAGAGGCGGCGGCAAGACAAAGAGGGAAGATCGAAGAGGCAGAGCCGTGGAGGAGGGGAAGAAAGGAGGAGGAACCACTGAGGTGAAGACGTCTGGAATTTAGGTTAGCAGTGATTTTTTTTTTTTCACAAAATTGCGTCATTTAATGTGAATATTTTTTTTAAAAAAAATTCAATGACCCCTTCTAATCAGAGAGTCACCGAGACCTAGTCAGGTTTCGGAAGTCAGAAGGATCAACTTGCATGCAGGGTCTAACTGTTGACCCTAACCCTTAGAGAGTGGCGGTCAAGGTTGACCCGGGGTTAGGGGCAAAGTTTTCAAACTCTACTTAAAATAAGAAAAATTTCATTAAGTTACTTAAAGTATTCCATTTACAAATAAAGGGAACTCTTACACAAAAGTTCCAAACTTGATATGAATTGTCAAACTCAATGACTAATCATATTAACTTGTAGGAGAGGAAGATGAAACTGAATAAAAAAATTCTTTTGTTGTTGGAGGGAGATATGCTAGAACAGGCATCTGTTGTGGGAGAATTGGTAATGGAGCTTCAAAATCAAGCACCTTAATCACTTTTCTTATACAGGGTCTGGATGTGCAATCTGGATTAGCACTCCATAACCCAACTACCAGTAAACATACCATTTGCTGCACATCAAATGCCCCACATAGCTCTGGGTCTGCTGCTGCAAGCAGATTTCTAATTCCATAAAGCTCCCAAATCCACTCAACTAATGATACTTCACCCTCCTTTTCATTGTGGTGAATGGCTTTTCTTCCACTGGCTAACTCCAACAAAACAACCCCAAAACTGAATATGTCTGATTCCTTTCTAGCCTTGCCTGTGTTTATATATTCAGGAGCAAGGTAACCCATGGTCCCAGCCACAACTGAGGTTTGTGACCCTTTCTCATGATCAACCAGCCTAGCTAGGCCAAAATCGCCAAGCTTAGCATTGAAGTTGGAGTCCAACATTATGTTGCTTGATTTGATGTCCCTATGAAGCACACATTTTTCCCATCCTTCCTGAAGGTAAAACAATGCTGAAGCCAAGCCCAGAGCTATGTTGTACCTCACCTGCCACGGCAAGATGCTTTCTCCGCGAAAAAGATGAGAGTCTAAGCTTCCATTAGGCAAGTACTCGTATATCAAGTGGAGATCATTCTTCTTGTGACACCAACCAGTGAGTTTTACCAAATTCCTATGCCTCAATTGGCTAATGATCTTAACTTCTGCTTCGTATTGCTTTATACCCTGCCTAGAATTTGCTGATATCCTCTTTATAGCAGCAAAGGAGCTAGAGTCTTTCAAATAGCCTTTATAAACACCGCCAAAACCACCTTGCCCAAGCTTTTTTGTCTCATCGAAGTTGTTTGTTGCAGATGCCAATTCATAATAACTAATCTTTTTAGGTCCAGTGCTGCTTTGGAGGAATTCAGCATCCATCTTAAGATCAGAACTGGTTTCCGATGTTGGTTCTTCTTCATATCCTTTATTCTTCTTCGGTAATAAAATGTGGACCAACCCTACTAAACTCAAAGATAAACCTACACCGATTCCGATTCCGATTCCTTCCAATAATTTTTTCTTGCTTAACTTGCTTTCCTTCTTAGGATGGACATGAATTGGATGGCTTGTCCTAAATGACCATGAAAGCAGGGTATGTTCCTCAAAATATGTTCCTGTTGCAGCTGATATGCCAACATAAACCGACTCTGGTAAGTGCTCTGTGATATCAATGTGGTATGAAAAGAACTGTGGAGTCTGTGTTATAGGCCCATCACCGATTTTGCGTACAGTGAAAGAAACATTTAAATTATTATTTCCTGAACTGTATTGAACACTACAGTAACAAACATCGCCTTCTGCAACATCTATAAACCATTTCTTTTGTTTTTCAGACTTCATAGAGTTGATATTCACACCCACATGCTGGTAAGGTGGGTCCCAATAATCTTGGTAAGTGTCAAATTCCACTGCCACAAATGAATAGGGATCAATGGAGACAGGTATGCCTGCAGGAAGAAGACCAAGACCTCCTCCGCCTCCTAAATCTGTTGTACTTGGGAGATTTGGGCTTGCTAGGAAGAATGCCAAACCATCTCCAAAAGCACTGTTATTTGAAGAAACAATGAAGGAAAAGTTGGTTGTGAAGTCTTTTTGCCAAATATGAATAAGGTTGGATCTTGTGATCCGCCCAACACTCCCAAACCATTCGCTTACTAGGCCCGTTGTGTTTGCTGTGAGCTCAATGCGAGAACCTGAAATAGAAGCATCTCCTTCAATGTTTAACTGCTTTTGATCAACATTTAAAAAGTTGGGGTAATCAAAACACACAGGCTGAGCATGTGCAAGAGGGATTATCAAGAAGAACAAAATGGTTCCCATTGCATAACACAACAGAGGAGTTGTTGCATGGACACCACCATTATGCCAACCACAACCAGCCATTGCAAAGTGAGAGCTAAGTTTGAACTTCGAAGCCTAACACACTTTCGTTTATGTTTTTATCTGTTATCCTTATTTGTCATTTATCTAACTTTCTTAGTAATTTGTGTAATTTAATTACAGTTGTCTCAATTCTAAACATTGGGATGAATATTCCTGCGTCCACAACTCACTATGTCATAAAAAAGGAGCAGCGATCATAACCACTGGACTATGCTGCGTGTGCTCATCAAAACGGCAATATTCGGAGTTGTAGCATGTAACCATTAATTAGAAACAAACTTGGCTGTGTTTGTTAACCAAAATTTTCAGGAAACAAGAAAGCCAATGCATTGTTTAAGTTATATTTAAAAAATATTTAACAATCTATATATAAAGAAAAAAAAAGTTTTGAAAGAGATATCTCTCTTTTAAAATGAGTGTCTTTTGACAGTATTTTCTTAGAAGTTAGAACTAATCAGCGATTCTGCCGTCTTTAGAGATTGACGATAATTTCAATATTTCATGTAGAGTTATGTGTGTTCAATTTTGCTGCAAGATAGCCACGACATGGAGAAAAGCATGCACCGTTAATTGTTACTCGTGCTTGTCAAGCCTCTAAGTTAAATGGGCTAAACCAGTATAAATTATTTTAAGCTTCACTTGACTTGTTAGTCTACAAAATTTGTAAGTTTTGTTGTAAAATTACTAAGAATTAGAAGAAGAATAGAGATAAGAGACATAGGGGAATGTATTTTAGTTGTATTGTCATACTACAATGATGTCTTATTTATAGGCTCGGGAAACCTGAAAATTACAATAACTGAAATTATTCTCCAACTGTCATAATATCTCCAACAGCCATAACGTCTCCACGGCCGTAACGTCTCCAACGGCCATAACGGTTATATAACGGATATGGACAACCAATAAATTATTTATAACACTCCCCCTTGGATGTCCAATAATCCTATTGAGAAGAAATATGTATTTCACTCCCCTTGATGATATTAGAAGCTGCCTCATTAAAAATCTTATCACGAAAACCCAATGGGACAAAACCATGGTGAAAGAAAAAAGAGTGCAACACGTATTTCACTCCCCTTGATGATAACATTATTTAATATCTCTGAGTTTACGCATCCCGATCTTGTAAACGAGCTTCTCAAAACAGATATTCAAGTGTGATGAGTCCCACATTGGTTGGTAATGAGCTAAGTAAAGAGTATATAAGTGGATGGACCCATGAACCCAATGCCTTAAGGTTTTGGGTTGAGACATAGTGTCATATCCACTTGCTACGGTTGGTGTAGCCTTAGCTCATTGGTGGTGGCCCCCGCCACGGGCTTCCCCTGGACCCGCTTGACATTGGAGTTTGAGGGAACGGATTTTCCAACAGTGGTATCCGAGCCTGATTGGGCTCGAGCTAGCCTAGTGATTAGCTAGGAGACGGGTCGAGTACTTTGCACTTCGGGTACTCGGTTGAGGGGGAGCATACCAATTGTGGGTTTCACACATTGTTGGGATATTCAAGTGTGATGAGTCCCACATTGGTTGGTAATGAGCTAAGTAAAAAGTATATAAGTGGATGGACCCATGAACCCAATGCCTTAAGGTTTTGGGTTGAGACATGGTGTCGTATCCACTTGCTACGGTTGGTGTAGCCTTAGCTCATTGGTGGTGGCCCCCGCCACGGGCTTCCCCTGGACCCGCTTGACATTGGAGTTTGAGGGAACAGATTTTCCAACAGTGGTATCAGAGCCTGATTGGGCTCGAGCTAGCCTAATGATTGGCTAGGAGGCGGGTCGAGTACTTTGCACTTCGGGTACTCGGTTGAGGGGGAGCATACCAATTGTGGGTTTCACACATTGTTGGGATATTCAAGTGTGATGAGTCCCACATTGGTTGGTAATGAGCTAAGTAAAGAGTATATCGGTGGATGGACCCATGAACCCAATGCCTTAAGGTTTTGGGTTGAGACATGGTGTCGTATCCACTTGCTACGGTTGGTGTAGCCTTAGCTCATTTGTGGTGGCCCCCGCCACGGGCTTCCCCTGCACCCGCAATCTTGTAAATGAGCTTCTCAAAACATGAAGTAGATAACGCCTTGGTAAATAAATATGCTAAATTATCACTTGAACGGATTTGTTGAACATCAATTTCACCATTTTGTTGATGATCATGAGTGAAGAATAATTTTGGTGACACATGCTTCGTTCTGTCTCCTTTGATGTATCCTCCATTTAATTTGAGTTATACAAGCAGCATTATCTTCATGCAATATTGTTGGAACCTCTTTTTTCCAAATAAAAACCGCATGCTTTTCGGATGTGTTGTGTCATTGACCCTGATCAAACACATTCCCCTATTTTATTTTAATGAAGAATGTGGATATTCCTCGTATTTGATAATGGAAGAAGGCAATATTAACATAATAACAGATAACACAAAATTGATCTAAAAAAAAAATTGGTAAATCAAAAATTGGCATGACCGGTTGACCATCCCGGATCAAATGTGATGTGAAAAATTATTGAAAATTATTATGATCATGCATTGAAGAACCAGAAGATTCTTCTTGTACTGCTAGTTCTCAAGAGAAATTATCATCGGCTAAAGTTGAGATTCAGTCTCCTTTGATGTATCCTCTATTTTTTTGCGGTGCATTGTGTGTAGAGAATTTTATAAAGCATATGTACAATGAAGTAGAATCATATTTACACTTTTGAGAAATCAAATTAAATAAAGTATGATTATGAAAGATGCAACATAAAAAATAAATAGAATTAACAGAGAAGCGACAAATACCTTCGTGTCTTTGGGATTACAATTCTCTTTTCGGGTAGAGCCTCGTACTGATAACGTGTTGTAAAATTACTAAGAATTATAAGAAGAATAGAGATAAGAGAGATAGGGGAATGTGTAACACCCCGTTCTAGAACCGGTTTATTAACATCGCAATATGATATTAAGCGCAGTTACAATCACATGGGTTCAATTAAAATCCGGATAAATTTTTCATTTTAAAACGTACCGAACTTATAATACCCATTTTCGTGATCATAACCATATTACCTTGCGGAAACAGATAAATTAAGCTTAACATCATGTTCACAACTTCTACTATATTGTAGGTTTCTTCATTAGCTATGCGTGGCTTCAAACCGCGCTCAAATCGGAGCACTGTAGCCCAAGTTAGGACAAATTGAAGCAACACAAGAGAGTGTTGGTCACAGGCCCCGCGCACTTCAGCGCGCTACCGGGCGCTTAAGCGCGCGCGCTATCGGGCGCTAAAGCCTCCATCTGGGCGCTTAAGCGCACGGAGGCAGTAAGCATCAGGCATTCCAGTGTGGATGGGCGCTTAAGCGCGCATCAGGGCGCTCAAGCGCGCTATCCTGGGCGCTCAAGCTCCCACGGGGACGTTTTAGCGCGCAGAGACAGAAGCATCTCCTCCTTCAGTGGCGAAGGGCGCTTAAGCGCGGACCAGGGCGCTCAAGCGCGCAACCCTGGGCGCTTCAGCCCCACCCTGGGCGCTAAAACACGAGGGGGCAGTAAGCCACCCAACTTTCTGCAGCAAAGGGCGCTTAAGCGCACGCCAGGGCGCTACAGCGCGCAATCCTGGGCGCTCCAGCGCGAGGAGGCAGAATGCATTGGCACTCGCAGGGGCAGCAGGGCGCTTGGGCGCGCTCCTGGGCGCTTAAGCGCGCTGCCAGGGAATTCCAATTCCCACATTTCTCAAGTCCAAGCCTAGGGGAAAATGCATCCCCATTACAAACCCCAATTGTCCATGCCCCAAAACTAAATCCTAGCACTCATCCAACCTCTCCTCATGAGATTTAGCTAGAATTTGGGCAGCATGACCTTTGTTTTCTCATCGTTTACCAGTTTAAACAAAAGGGTACCTAATTGATTTTCAGCCCAACCAATTCAACAACTCAATACATAACAAGCATGCATATATTGAATTTCAAGTAGGCATCATTTACATTACATATCCTTTACAAATCATAGAACTTAGCTTACAAAACACTATGATCATTCCCTTGGCTCCCATCAACAAAAGGTGTAACCAAAGGCATGAGCATAAGCTAAGTTCATCCAATGAATCAAGATATACAAATGACCATGGGCTTTCAAAATAAAATCCTATACATGTCAACTACAAAAGGCATGCATAAACTCAAAGAAATGCCATATTTCATGCATAATCCAGATATGGCCACTTGCCACCAGAGGCTCCTGCAGCATCCTTACCTGAAAGGGGGTCCCCACAACACGGGGTGAGATATACAAATATATCCAGTAAACCAGGGGTCCTTGGAGCATCTCTCCACCCCACAGTTCCATATCAGTGTAATAGCAATAACAATAATAATGCAGTAAATACATATCTATGCAAAGTGCACTACATCTCCAGGAGAAATCCCTCGAGCTCTCAAGCTGTCCTAAGGAAACTCAGATGCAAATAGTCCTACTGGCCAGCTAACTACCATGTATGATTTACGCATCGTCATGCAACATACCCACATAGGGAAACACCATCCTATGCCACACAAAATGCATACACATACGTATAACAAAGCATTACACTATTTTATTGCATTTATATACACAATCACAACCTCTACCCTTTCAGGGCTTGGTAGAACAGTCAAGGGAATTACACCCAAGGTCCGAAGGCTTACCTCAATGCTTCAGTCGACCTTTGTTCTTCACCAATGTCAACAATACTCTACTCCAAAACCAACACCTACACATGGTGTAATGCAATCAACACATTGCATCCAAGAGTATTTCACAATCAACCATCAACTACTCAATTCAAAACACACACACGTATGAGCTTACCAATTCCAATGAGCTACTCAAGCTCCATAGCTTGCTCAAGAGGTTGATCACTCACGGTCGGTCCAAATGTCTCAATCCTAGACATCATTAGGACACAATCATCAATCAACCAAGCCATACCATTTATCAACAATGCAAGAAATCCAATATCAAGCATCATATTCTTTCCATTTTACAAGTATACTCATTTAGCTATCTAAGCTCATTTTCACCGATTAAATGACATTCCTAGCATTTTCCTTAACATGCTCTAAGCTCCATTCTTCCTAGAACATAGCTAATTCAACTACATTTCATCAAAATCCCTAAAACACTATTCATAAACCCTAACTCATGCAAATTTCAAGGAATCATGAGGTTCAAGGGTTAGAATCTTACCACCAATGGTCACACAACCAAGGATTGATGGCTCCTCAAGCTTCAATGGAGGTAGAAACTCTCAAAACCCCAAATTTCTCCAAAGGGCCGAATTTTTGAGAGCCAATATCCCACCACACAAAGCTCCCCACTTAAAACTAAGCTTGGATTATGAAAGAGGGCGAGATTCTAAGCGATTTAGGCTTTTGAATCATCCAAAACCATCAAGGTTTCCTCTCTCTCTCTCTCTCTTCCTCCCTTCCTTCTCCCTCTTTTCTCCTTCTTCTTCTTCTTCTTCTCTCTGTTTCTTTCTCGACGGGTTGCAGGGGGGAAATGGGTTCACTTTTAGCTTTTGGTCACTTAACATTGGTTAAGTGGCTTTAAGCGGGTATTGGTTCGTCTATCTATTCAACTCCAATAATTACCAAACTTTACCCAAAAGTCTGGAATATTATTCTAGGAATATTACTATTTTTATTTTTATATTTTGGGTACTTTTTCCAGTACCCATTTATACCCCTTAATTTTCACTGAGTACACTTTTTAACTTCAAAGTGACTCAGATTCATTTAATTAAGCCTTATACTTAATTTCACTCACTAAAACATGTTTAATTAATTAATTACACTTGATTTACTAATTAATTAAGATGGGCTATTATAGAATGTATTTTAGTTGTATTGTCATACTACAATGATGCCTTATTTATAGGCTCGGGAAATATGAAAGTTATTTTAACTGAAATTATTCTCTAACTGTTATCAAAAAAAAAAAAAAAAATTTATTCTCTAACGGTTATAATATCTCCAATAGCCATAATGTCTCCAACGGCCATAACGTCCCCAACAGTCATAATGGTTATATAACGGATATGGACAACCAATAAATTATTTATAACAAGTTTGACTTTTTTGTTTTTAAAAAATAGAATGTTTGGCGTGACTTATCAAGCCTTCCAATCCTTCAAATATAATATATTGCACTTGATAAATTATGGGTTATAATTATTTTGTACAATAGTTGAACAAAACCTAAAATATTGACAATTCAACTACATTGTTGAAAATAAAAAATAATCATCAAATCGAACTGTATTAATTTTTAATTATAAAATTAAATTTTAATTTAATTTAAAATAAATTAAAAGTTTATACACGCATGCACATAGGCGTACACATGTATGTGTATAAAAATGAGCAAAAACAATATTTATTTTAAGACTAATGAAAGCCAATCATATTAGAGTCATAAAAGAATTTGTCAAAAAAATAATTAAATAATTTAGGAGAAACAAATAAAAGAAGTCACTCACTTAAACACATGCCCAACAAACAAGAACAAGATATATAGATGTTGTAACAACCCTTGTATGCATCCAAGAGTTTTACTCTTAATCGTATTAGAGTCTTTTACTATGAGAAAAAAAAATTGTAGTTTAGCATTGACATAACGCATGTCATATGCTAACGAACCTTAAGCACCCGAGATGAGTATATTTATGTTTATCACCTTTTTAATACAATTCCTGAGGTTCTATTTAATATCATTTAGTTATTAAAGAATCTTGACCCAAAAATGCCAATTTGGGTTCCCAAAATTCTAGATATGACCCACAATATTGTTGCTGTCAAAGGAAAAAAATAGTTAAATAGGACAATTGACTCTTGTTTTTTGTAATAACTCGTGTATGCTCCAATTGTTCTAAAAGTTTTTAGGCAGAAACTAGAAAGGTAAAGTGTAACACCCTGTTCTAGAACCGGTTAGTTAACATTACGTATGACATTAGGCGCAGTTACAATTACAACAATTGAATCAAATTACGGATAAACTTTTTCCTTTTGCATTAACAAACGTTTCTGTTTAAAATCAATTCCGTAATTAAAACAATTCCAAAGGCTGTAATCATAACTTAAACAATATGCGAAATGCTTAAGGTTTATTTAACTATGCCATACATCACTCCCACAAAGTGCCAAGTAGTCTCATGTAAGTGAGCTTGGGGAGGAGAGATCCTTGAGGATCCCTTGTCTTACTGAGATTTTTTTTTAGAGATCTCATCCGTGTTGGGGCATATTTTCAGGTATAGTTACCTCGGGGGTTGAGACCTCTGGCGGCAGGAGGCTGGAGCAGAGTTGATATATGCATGTCTACCTGTTATCGCTTTTAGATTTATGTATGCCTTATTATTATGATATGGCTATTGATTTGAGACATTGTTTGGCTTTGTTGCCTAATTTGGTGAGCATGGGGGTTGTCCATGCCACATTGATTTCTGTTACGCTATTTAGGTTTCACTTGTATAATGTATCAGGATATTGTCTGGTCTACGTATTGTAGTTCCGTGACTAGATACACAGTTATTTATACCATGAGGTAATTTAGTTAGTTATTTATTGCAATTTACATATAGGCGATATATTCTGAAAAAGGAATAAGTAATCAACTTGGTTAATAATGATGATGTCATAATTGGAAAGAAAAAATTAGCTTCCACATTTATTTAGCTACGCCATTACCATATGTATGTTTAATACGCCAGGTGCACACGGGGTGTTACAGTTAGATTACGATTTCATCCAACGATGGATATTTGTGGAATAAAATAAACCATTTTTCCTCTTTCTTTCTCTTCACTTCCTCCCACACCCTTTCTCTCTATCGACGACCAAGACAGAAAATTCTGGAAACGAAATCACTTCCTCCAAAATGAAAAACACATACTCCATCAAAGAAAGAATGAAAAACACATAACATCAACGACTATCATTTGAAAAAAATCAGATTGTTTTCCCCTCCCCATGTTGGTAGACATTCCATTTTAAATGAAAAACAAATATCTTAATATTATCAAAGAGCGATTCCTAATTAGATTGTTTCAGTGTTTTATGAAATTTTTTATGATTTTTCAGTTTTGACTACATCGAGAGCCACCAACCCCGAAATTTGTGACGAGGGCAATTCTCTTTTCAAGTCACCTCCCGGTTCCAACAATTAAAGAATACCAAATCTCTATTTCTCCATTTTTTAATATATAAATTTTTGGGAAATTTTTTTTTAAGTAGAGATAAAAGTATCTCTTTCAACCCAAAATTATATCATTTTTAGGTTTGATAATTTTATTTTTCTCTTATAATATAAATTGCAAGCTTAGAAATAGAGTTGTGGATAGTGAGGCATTGGAGGAAGTGATTTTTTTCAAATGATGGTCGTCGATGGTACGTGTTTTTCGTTTTGGAGGAAGTTATTTTCGTTCCTAGAATTTTCTGTCTTGGTCATCGATAGAGAGAAAAGGGAGGAGAAAGAAAGGGTGTGGGAAGAAGTGAAGAGAAAGAAAGAGGAAAAATAGTTTATTTTATTCCACAAATATCCATCGTTGGATGATATCGTAATCTAATGATATTGAAAGAAATAGTAAAGGTAGATAGAATAAGAGTAGGTAGAATAATATAACTCTTTTAGAAATAAAGTTACAAATGTTATGGACTTTTAAAAGAGTCACCCCTTAAATTAAACGAATGCTTTTTTTGTTTTTAAAGATATTTACGGGTTTTGAGACTTTTCATTCTTTTAGGCTTTGTTTGGGAGTTTGGAGGGGAGGGGAGGGGATCCAAGGGGGGGGGGGGGGGGAGGAAGGGGAGGAAATTGGAGGGTATCCCCTTCCCTTGTTTGGGAGTCAAAAAAATAGAATGAGAGGATAATGGAAGGTCAATGAGATATTTTTACCATTTTATCCTTTTTTTAAATTAATATAATTATTATACTTTACAAATTAAATTAAATTTAAAATTTCTAAAAAATATTATTTATGTACTTTTCACAACACTAAAAAAGATAATATTTTTGATGAATTTCTACGTTGCAAACGATGAAAATTTCATCACAAAATTATTTTTTTTGTCGGAATACTTTTCGTCGAAAAGAGACGGAAATTTTCAACCGATGAAAATTTTTACAAAAACAAATTTTTTAAAGAAATTTTCGACGAAATTTAGTTTCCATCAAAAGTTTTGACGAAAATGATTTCCTCCATCAAATGTTTTAAATGAAAAAGAATTCTGTCAAAAATTTCAGAATTTCGATGGAAATATATTCTGACATAATTTTTGACAAAAATTGTTTTGTTAGAAATTTTGAGGGAAAGATTTCATTCGAAACTTTCGACGAAATTTAGATTTTGTAAAGAATTTTGACAGAATATTTTTTCGTCAAAAATTTTTACGGAAATATTTTCTGTCGAAATTTTTTGACAGAAATGCGTTCCGTTGAAAATTTTGATGGAAATGTTTTTTATCCAAAAACTTGACAGAAATATTTTTCGTCGAAAATTTTCGATACAAATGTGTTTCGTTAAAAATTTCGACAGAATTTTTTTTTCCAAAGAGTTGAACGAAAATGTTTCCGTCGAAAACTTTGTGCGGAATTTAAATTCTATTAAGAATTTTGATGAAATTTGTTTTCGTCAACAATTTTCGATAGAAATGTGTTTCGTTGAAAATTTTGATGTAAATATTTTTCGACAAAAATTTTGATGAAAATGTTTTTTTGTGAAATATTTTGGAAAAATTTAGATTCCTTAAAGAAATATTGATGTTTTTTCGTCAAATTTTTTTACATAAATATTTTTAGTCAAAAATTTTGACGGAAATATTTTTCGTCAAAATTTTTCGATAAAAATTTTGACGTAATTGTTTTACGTCGAAACTTTTCGACGGAAATGTGTTTCGTCAAAATTTTGGACAGAAATATTTTCGTTAAAAGTTTCGACGAATTTAGATTCTATCAGTAATTTTGACTGAAATTTTTTTTTCGTACAAAATTTATGTTTGTGTTTATGGCAAAATCTAGTTTTGTTTCTAATTTCGTCTTTTTTTTTTACGGAAAAATTTTGACGTATATGATTTTTATCAAAAATTTCATCACTATTTTGTGACAAAATATTTTTTGTCGATAAATTCTGACGGTAGTTGAGACTTTTCCAATAATTTTATATTTAAAAATGATTCACAATTACATAGTTTTCACATTTTAATGCTAAGGGTAGATAAATAATTTTTAATATTTTCTCCCTCAAACCCTCCAAATTGGAGGAACTTTAATTTTAAGAAGAAGGAGGGTTTAGTAAAAATCCCCAAATCCTTCCCCTCCTTTTTTTAAACTCCCAAACAAGGGGAAGGGCTTAGTAAAACCATCCATTTCCTTCCCTTCCCCTCCTATCCATAGTAAACTCCCAAACAAAGCCTTAGGAATTGCAACTCTTATCCTTTCGGCAGATCAATTCACACGATCTAATTAGATCAAATCCTAAAACCTATTGTGCACATCAAATGAATGTCATTTTGACGAATAGGCGGAGCTTGAGCCATCTAAGGCTTTATTTGGGAGTTAGTTTTAAGAGGCAAATGAAAGTAAAGAAAGGGTTTTATTAATCACTTTCCTTGTTTGTAAGTTTAAATCAATGGGGAAGGGAATTGGAGATTTTTGCAAAATCCCCAAAACCCTTTTCACCTTTAAAATTAAAGTTCCCCCAATTTGAGGGATTTTTAGGTGAAAATTACTTATCTACCCTTAGCATTAAAATATAAAAACTACATAAATATGAATCATTTTTAAATGTGACATTATTAGAAAAGTCTCAAATACCGACAGAATTTATTGACGAAAAATAATTCATCGAAAACAGTGATGAATTTTTTGACAAAAATCATATTACGTCAAAAATAGAAACAATTTTTTTTCGTCGAAACTAAAGACAAAATTAGATACAAAACAAGATATGACCATAATCACTGACATAAATTTTTTGTACAGAAAAAAAATATGTAGTCAAAATTCTTGATAGAATCTAAGTTCCGTCAAAACTTTCGACGAAAATATTTCCATCAAACTTTTCCTCGAAAAATACTTCGGTCAAAAATTTTGACGAAACACATTTCCATCAAAAAAATTTGACCGAAAATAATTCCGTCAAAATTTTTGTCGAAAAACATTCCCGTCAAAACTTTTGATGAAAAACATTTCCATAAATTTTTTTGACATAATCTAAATTTCGTCAAAAGTTTTGATGAAAATATTTCCTTCCAAATTTTCAACGGAACACATTTACAGCGAAAATTTTGGACGAAAAAAATTTTCGTAAAATTTTGTGACGAAAAACATTTGTGTAAAAAATTGTGACAGAAAATATTTTTTGTCAAATTTTGTTACGGAATCTAAATTCCAACAAAATATGGGACAAAAAACATATCCTTCGAAATTTTTGACGAAAGTTATTTCCATCAAAATTTTCAATAGAACACATTTCCATCGAAAATTTTTTATGGAAAATATTTTAGTAAAAAATTTTGACGAAATAAAAATTCGTCAAATTCTTTACGGAATTTAAATTCCATCGAAAGTTTTCGACAGATACACTTTTGTCAAAATTATTGACAAAAAATATTTCATTCAAAATTTTCGACGGAAAACATTTCTATCAAAAAATTTTGACGGAAAATATTTTTAGCAAAATTTGATAAAAAAACGTTTCCATCAAAATTTTGATAAAAAATAATTTTGTAAAAAATTATGACGAAAAAAATATTTTGTCAAAATTATTTACGGTGAAATTTTCGTCGTTTGAGACGTAGAAATTTTGTCAAAAATATGATCTTTTTTAGTAGTATGCAAAGTACATAAATAATTTTGTTAAAAAATTTGAATTTAATTTATGTAAAATATAATAATTATATTTATTTAAAAAAAGAAAAAAATGTAAAAGTGTTTCACTAACACTTCTTTTTTCTCCCTTATCCTTTTTTTAGCTCCGAAATAAGGAAAGAAAACATCCTTTAATTTTTTTTCCTTCCTTCCCCCTGAAATCCCTTTCCTTCCATTTCTTTCCCTTCCAAACTCCCAAGAGAATAACTATATCTCTATGTAGTGTTAGAATAACTTTTGATTATATCCGTTAAAGATGGTGGCCAACTTGATAATAAGTAGTGTTTTCCTTTTCCTAATTTGAGTTTGAACTCCAAATATTTAACTAAAAATCAGTAAGAGTATATATATATCTATATATATCAAACCAGAATAGCTACCTTTTTCTCTATCTACGATCTATCTATCTATCTATATATGTGTGTCTCTCTCATTTTTACTAGTTATTAGAATGTCAAATATTAATTATATATATGGGTTTAATGACTTCACCGAATAGTCCCAGGAATCTGCTTTTGCTGCCTAAACCAAAATTTTAACATAATTTATGATAATAGATAAATTTGTACTTAGATTTGTTTAGAAAAAAAAAACAATTCGACACATATTGTGCAACAAATAGTGTAGAAATAAGGGGCGTAGGATTTTGTATTACTGATTCTCTAGTGTCCATTTGAAAATGTGTGGTAGAAAATTTGGGAAAAGTTTTATGTGAAAAATTATTCCTAGATTTTTCATTCCAAATTTTAAAGAAAATTTTGACTGAATTCACTTAGATTAACGCTTTATGTACAACGTTATGAACTCGCTCATAATCTAGTTGCTTGCATAACAAGCTGCATGCAATAGTTTGACCAATCATTTTCTCTTCTAAATCTTACCAATCCTCCAAAACAAATATGAGAATATACTCCAGTATATCCATACATCATCATTCTATTTTATAGTGGTGAATAAAAATGTCAACACTACCTGTACGTTATTTTAATCATCTTTGTACGTTGCTATATTGCTAACTAATATAAGTGTAAACACTCTTTTTGATCACTAACAAAAAATTCAGTTCCCACTTTAGTTTCTTACAAAAAAAATTAGTGACATGGTCTCTATGAAATTCAAAGCGGACACATTTTAGTCCTTTTGAGTGACTAATGTGGATCTTTTTTGAATTTGTGAGGGACCACGATTTTAACTAAATTGATCCACTTTGAATTTCTTAGGAACCTCAAGACTGATTTTTCTTATAAGGAAATAAAGTGGGGATCGTATTTTTTATTAAGGACTTAAAAAGATATTTACTCCTAATACAAATATTGAATCAAGTGAAAAATAAGAACCTGCAATAAAGAAAAAAAAAACTACCGCAAAATCCGATCCAATTTATCGTAATCGATTAGTTAACATGTTGGAACACAAAGATAGAATTCAACAACCGTACGGGCATCTTTTTGTATTGATCAAATAAACATTCACTCTCTTTCTACCGAAGAAATAAATATTTATAACCCTTCAGTAAGTAATGATCAAGTAATACTCAAAGTTTCATATCTGAAGCGAGTTTTCAAGAAACTGCTACAAATTCTAATGTTTATGTCCGCACTTGCGGACATTTGTGACCACCTGCGTCCGCCACTGCTTATACTTAAGGATGGTTGAGGATAAAATAAAACAGTATGAATATGTACCCAAAAAATAAAAATAGTAAGAATAACTCATTTTTGCAAGAACATAACAACATGCTAAATCGTTTAAACAAAAAAAAAAAAAAAAAAAAAAAAAATGGCCTTTAGAACTAGGATGTAGCTGTAGTTTTGTGGCCATTAGAGCTAGGGAAAATGAGATTGGAGACAATGTGCAAGTGGAAGATATTTGCTCTCTGTAAATGAGATCAAGCATTCCATTTGAACTGACATATAAAGAAAGAATCCATGTCGCCTCAAAGCCTGTCTATCTCACAAATTGTTTGGTCCTTGAGTTGTATTGTTTTAAACTTGCTATGACAGGGCATAATTTTCATATATCACCACATATTCACTTCGCAATGGCTAGCACAGCTATAGTTGTATATCATAATGTAGTTCACCATCAAAATTTCCACTTCTATACCGAAAAATGATTATTACACTGCATCTATTACAAACTTTATAAAAGGGAAAGATGAAACAGAAGAAAAAAGTGCTCTTATTGTTGGAGGAAGATAGGTTGGCACAGGCATGTTTTCTGGGAGAATTGGTAAAGGAGATTCAAATTTAAGCACCTGAATCACTTGACTTATAGAAGGCCTTGATGAATAATCTGGATGAACACACCAAAGGCCAACAACCACTAAACGTTCCATTTGTTGCTCATCAAATGCTCCACATAACTTAGTGTCAGCTGCTTCGAGGAACTTTCCCAATCCATAAAGCTCCCAAACCCACTCAACTACAGTTATTTGACCCTCATTGGCTGCTAGGTCAATGGGTTTCCTTCCACATGCAATCTCCAATAACACAACCCCAAAACTGTATATATCAGATTCCTTTGTAGCCTTTCCTGAAGTGAAATATTCAGGGGCAATATAGCCCCTAGTCCCGGCTATAAGTGTGGTTTGTGATCCTTTCTCATGATCCACCAACCTAGCTAAACCAAAATCACCAAGCTTAGCATTGAAACATGAATCCAACATAATGTTGCTTGGTTTAATGTCCCTGTGAATCACACATTGCTCCCATTCTTCTTGTAGGTAAAGCAATGCTGAAGCCAAGCCTAGAGCTATATTATACCTCACTGTCCATGTCAAGAAGCTTTTCCCACCGTATAGATGGGAATCTAAGCTTCCATTTGGCATGAACTCATACATGAGGAGGAAATCATTCTTCCTGTGGCACCAACCAACAAGTTGTACTAGATTTCTATGTCTCAATTGGCTTATGACCTTCACTTCAGTTGCATATTCCTTTATCCCCTGTGTAGACTCTCTTGATATCCTCTTGATAGCAACATAGGAGTTTAAGTCTTTCAAATAACCTTTATACACACAACCAAAACCACCTTGCCCCAGCTTGTCTGACTCTGCAAATTTGTTTGTTGCACTAACTAGTTCATTATAGGAAAACCTCTTAGGTCCAGTTCCCTTCTGGAATTCGTCATCCATGTTAAGATCAAAAACTAACTCTTCTTTCCCTTTACTCCTCTTCCATAATAAACCACAAACCATCCCTGACAAACTCACAGCCAAGCCTATACCAATTCCAAGCCCCACCCACAATCCTATCTTCTTTCCTTTTTTAGAAATAGCATTGAGGCGTGGTGGGGCTGCTATTGGTGTTATCTGATTTGTGATATCCTCATCACTTTGTAGACTTGAACTGAATGACCATGACTCCAGAGTATGCACTTCATAAAATATTCCTGTTGCAGCAGAGAAGCCAAAAATAACTGACCCTGGTAAGTAATCTCTCAAATCAATCTTGTATAATATGTATTCTTCAGCTGGATTATCATCAATGTACACAGTGAATGAAACGTTTAAATTAAGAGTGCTGGAATTGTACTCGATGCTACAATTATAAACTCTCTTTTCTCGAATATCTGTCAACCATGGCTTAGTTATGTTAGACCTCATAGAGTTGAAATTCAAGCCTACATGAGTGCCTTGAGGGTCCCATGGATTTGAGAAGGTGTCAAACTCCACTGCTACAAATGAGTGTTGAGTTGACTTCAATACTTGGTTGCCATCCACAAGGCCAAGACCACCTCCTTCTTCAATTTTGATCAGAAGTGGCAAATTTGGATCTGCTAGGAAGAATGCCATTCCATCTCCATAATAACTCTGATCAGAAAAAATAACAAAGGAAAATTTGGTAGTGAAGTCAGCAAGCTTTCGAGATTTCATATCCCAGAGGAGCATCTGTCGGTAACATGTGACTCGGCCAACACTGTAATTGTTGTTTTGGTCAATGGTGTTCATGGAGATTTGGATAGCTTCTTTCAAAATATAAGCATCACCTTCCCTCTTGACATCACCATCTTTAAAGTTGGGGTAATTGAATGATAGTGGATTTGCATGATGGATTGCTTGGAGGATTAAAATGGTTCCCATTGCATAACGGAAAATAAGATTTGGAGTATGATGACCAATATGCCAAGAAGCCATCTAATGTTGAAGGAATATCATAGGAAGGACTTATTGTTGAAGCAACAGGGTTATATTTTATGCTTTTATGTATCTGATTATATTTTTCCTTATTGAATTGAGTAGGAAACTTCTCATATTCTATTTTGGATTTTATGGTTGTCTTAATTGCAGGAAGCTCATTCACTGCCTCCACCTTTCATATAATAGAACCAGCGATGACTACAATAATTTTGGTGAATCGCGGTGGACATCCCTTTAAACATGTTGACAAGAATTCGAAACTTCTCCCTGTGTATAGAAAAGGTTTTGTTGACAGAGACTATACTCATGATCGCATGATTTCTCTGCCACGGAAGAATTAATCCTTAACTTTCGGCTAGGTGATACCCTTGGAACAATTTTCAAAAAAGAAGAAGAAAAAACCTGAAAATAATGCATTTATAATCGTGAAATTATTGTAATCCCATTGAAACCAAATAAAATTTAGTGGAAATGCCTGCACATTATAAATTCACTCTTCTTGTTATTTGATTAGTGTGATTTTGGGATTATTGGGTGGTCTTAATTCTTGAAAGTTTGTCCCCAGTTGTTTGTGTGTGTGTCTGAATTGGTCACCTTGTTGGAAGTTCGTAGGGTTGGCAAAACGGGTCAACCCGGCCCAACCCGCATTCAACCCGTAAAAATCGGGTCGGGTTAGGGTTGGCTCGAAAAAATAAACGAGCCAGAAAACCCAACCCAGCCCAACCCGAGCCGGGTTAGGGTTGGCTCGCTGGTTGGCTCGATAATCAGCTCGCGGGTTGGCTCGGAAAAAAGCTCGCGGGTTGGCTCTAGGAGAAGGAAGAAGATTCTGAAGAAGAGAAAAAATTCTAAGTGTTGAGCGCTAAAACGTTCATCCAGAACGTTTTAGCGCCCTGCTACAGAAAGAAGCCAAAAGATGCTGGTCTGGAGCACTAAAACGTCCATCCAGAACGTTTTAGCGCGCTGCTGCACGTCAAAGCCAGAAATATGCAGGTCTTCAGCGTTAAAACATTAAAGCTCAAACGTTTTAGCGCCCTGATGCTGGAAAAGGATTATGGTCTTCAGCGTTAAAAAGCTCAAACCAAACGTTTTATTTTTTTTAATTTAAAAAAAATACCCAACCCGCGAGCTGGCCCGTTTAACCCGAGGGTTGGCTCGTTTGGGTTAGGGTTGTATCGGGTCGGGTTGTATCGGGTTGGCAGCTCATTTAGACCAACCCAACCCGACTCATTTAGGACGGGTTGTGAGCCAACCCAACGGGTTAGCTCGTTTTTGCCAACCCTAAAAGTTCGTATCAAGATCATCCTGTTGAACACCAATAAAACTCAAGCTTCTCGCCCTAATTGTAATCAATGGCCGGCATCATTGTGATTCACGAAAGTACACAACATTTAACCAGTCATTACTTGGGTTTTTTTTTATATATACATATATATAATGGTAACACTGAAATTTCAATATATGATCTCATGCTAATTACACAAATCCTTCACCACTAAAACAATTCCAGTAGCTTATTACTTGGGTTCTTTAAAATGCCTCATTTTAATCCTTTTTTGCTAAATTGATATAAATATTTAGGGCACGGTTATACTTACCACCAGGTAAGTTTATCACTCTTACCATCAATCTTATTACCGTTAGATTAAAATTAAATTTAACGGTTCATAATTATTCTTTATAATCCTAATTTTTACTCTCACATTCCCCTTTCTCTCTCTAGGTTTGGGATCTTCAAAGAATTTAGAGAGAGAAAAGTGCAGATTTCAAACCTAGAGAGAGGGGATGTGAGAGTAAAAATTAAGATTATAAAGAATAATTATGAACCGTTAAATTTAATTTTAATCTAATGGTGATGAGATTGATTGTAAGGGTAATAAATTTATCTAGTGATAAGTATAACTGTTTTCAAATATTTAAGGATAAGATAATACTTTTTGTTACAGAATTACAATCGATCAAATTAAAATCAAAAGGATGTTGGCATTTACCTTTGGGATTTGACAGCAAAGGACCGGCGTGTGCGTATAAAAAGGTTTAAACAGGGAACGAAAAATTTGTAGAGAAATTTATGAAATAAAAAATACTAGACAACACTGATTAATCACTGAAACCCAACAACACGCAAGTGTATAATGGGTTGAACAAAAGTGGGTTCATCTTGTTTGAAAAAAAAATGTTGGAGTGGCTAAGTCCCACATTAAATTTAGAGAAAGAAATGCTGTATATATGTTTGGATGGGCCCTCTACATCAAACAAGTTCGGGTCCAAGGATGAGTATACAGTTCATTCATTCCCAAATGTGTTAGGCCTACAAATTCATTTTGTCATCTTTTACTTAATTTTCTGCTACGCACTACCTATCTCTACATATTATGAATGGTACTTGTAATGGATGACTTCTCTCATTTGTTTTGATTAAATATGTTCGGATAAAGGTTTATTTATTTCATATGTTATTTTATTTTTATAATTTAATTGGTAGACAACCAAAATTCAAATATTACATTTATGCAAAACAATGAAATTTTAAAACATGGCACTCGATGAAAAAAATTAGGAAAGGTTTTAGATATCAAGAAAGGGAAAAATATGTGTCATTTTAAAGGAGGTAAAGTTGTGTCATTTTAAGAGAGAGAAAGAGATAGATAAAAGAGGAGAGAGAGTTGACAAAAAAAATAAAAGTGTGGGTCTCACCTCTTTATAAGAGTGAAAGGATACAAGTTGTGTCATTTAAAAAGATAAACAATTTTCCCATCAAGAAATTACAATTTTCCCAATACTCATAAGGTTACTATCGTTCAATCTCGCTCAATATATTGGCTTGGTCTAATTTGTAGAAACAAGATAAAATTACTTTTCATAAAATTATTACAATCATGAAAGTGAACAATTTCACGTGCTCCTAACTTTATCGATAGTGGCAAGATGTAGGAATTACATTTTTAGAAATATTTTTAAAATCATTTCAAAAAATTACTCCTTTTACACTTAATTTTTCGGAATAAAAATTTTACTTAACCATCTTATTTTACAAAATATTTCCTTGAAAACTTCCAATGCACTACTTTCATATAACATGTTGTGTGGTTTAAATTCATTTCATACAATAATGGTTATTTAGTAGCTCATTCTCTATTATAGTCAATGTTATTACACAAGACCCGATTATCGAACCAGTCGAGGTACTAGGTCATTGGGTCACTGATTCAACTAGTGGGTCACTAGTTCAACTAGTGGGTCACTGGTTCAATCGCATGACCTGGTAAATATATGAAAATCTATAATTTATATTAGAAAAACTATAAATATACTTAAATATCTGTAAAATAGTATACCAATTTCAAATAATTTAATATGAGAAATAATAAATTACACATCATTGTCCAACAAAAGAGTAATCAAACATATAATATTTGTTATACTGATGTTTCAGGTTCAGTAAACGACATCTCTAACTATAAATCAAATCAAAATTCCCTGCATATTGCATAATCAAGATAATACTAGTGTTGTAGGCACATAATCTATGTAAGTTAATAAGCTACAAATCACTCAAATATTTTAAAAGAAAATAAATCATTTGTGTTTGAGAGTTAAAAAAAGGAAGATATCAATTGATGAGAATAAATTAATTTTTTTTTTTACAAACCGGGCCGGGTCATTGGTTGAACCGACCGGGTCACCGGTTTTTACGAAAACCTGTCGGGTCGCACTAGGTCACACCGATTGTGTAACATAGCTGGTTCAATATGAAAAACGGACCGATTTCATGACCCATTCACCGGTTTCCGTGTCGAACCGGCCGGGTCGATCCGGTTTTTATAACATTGATTATAGTTATTCATCATTTTTTATGAAATGCCAACTTAAAAGGACCTTGAAAATAAACAGGAATTAATTTTGAATAAATAGGATGGAATTAAATAATTTAATAAATTTAATTTAATTAATAGATAAAAAATTCCATCAAATGGTGGCTTGATCAACTCATAGTTTATAATGTTTTAAAGGACTAAAAATCATATTATCAACTAGCCAAAAGCATGATAACTTAGGGTTGTTTGGCTAAAAGGTATTAACTTTGAATTGTTGACTTATGTGAATGAATTTTGCTTGCTTTGTAGGACAATTGAGTTGAATTGGAGCATTAGAGCAATGATTAAATTAGAAGGGCTTAAAGCGATAAAGGAGGAACAACGATTTAGTGAAAAATTCCATGAAGTTGTTAATGCGACCAAAAATCGTTCCCATTTAAAGCCCATTTTAATGTTAAAATTCCATCCGTTTCGTCAATTGGTAATCAATTTTTGCTGTAAAAACACATTCCCAGATCATGAGGACAGAAGTACCAAAAGGGAACAAATGATGATGTAATCAGCTGATAATACAAGAAAAAGGGAATAGTTTGACTTATTTGTACAGCTGCTCGACTAACCTCTCCTCTGACTCTTTTACAGGAAACGTTGAAAAGAAGCTTCTAAAAGCAGAAAGGGGTACAACAATCAAGCAGGAGGAAATGTGTATAGCAGAGAATAAAGAGTGCTCATTGATATAGATAAGAAGCAAGCATGGGAGTCTCAAAATAAAAATGCAAATCTCAACCCTAAGCTATCCCATCAAACAACTTGCTTCACTTGTCAGAGCACCAATTCACCGCCTCCCCATTCAATCGACGAACAGCTGAAGAAGAATCACAAGATTGCCATCCATTCCTTTAGCCTATAAATAGAAGAATCTCACACGAAGAAACGATCGAATTCCTTAAGAAGAGATTACCTAGTTGTAGTTTAAGTTTCTATATTTTACTTGTATAGTTCTAGCAATAGCTAAGTGACAACAACTCTTTTCCATTCTCTTTCACCACTTGAGACTCCTCATTAGCAATATCCATACTTCTCCATTTTATTTCTCTGTGTTGTAAACTTATTTATTATAATATATGTTTGTTATTTCTCTTCTCTTCCACTCATTATCTTCAACCTGAATCTCGGGTCTATGGGATTTCAGATTAAAATAATTATGTTTTTGTTTTCAGCTCTGGGCTAAGTTATTTTTGGAATGGAAAAGCTATGAAATTCTTAAAGAACTATGTTCAAAACTCTTGTACTGAATCTTTTGTATTTCTATGATTTAAGTAATTTTAACTCTTTGGGTATCAATGAAAATTGAACGCAAACTGAGAAAGGAACTTCCTTAAGGAAGGGATTTCAGACAGCTTAATCATAGGAGGAAGGTAGGATTGTGGAAACAATCTTACTGGTTGCCTTAGGAATAAGGAACCACCTCGTTCTCTGAAGATTCTGAACTTAGTAACTGTTGGAGTCAAGGGAGCCATATGAATATGGAAACTTGTGAGCCATTTAGTCCATAAGCTGAGGAATTAGAGTTGGCAGTGAAAAGACTTGAACAAATTCAGAAGGATTAAGTCTTGAGTTGAGAGCATAGTTATTTAAGAATGAAACAGTGGATCTGTTTCTTGTGTTAAAACTATTTTTTTATTAATCATCCATCTTATTATCTCTTAATTATTGTTATCTGAAAAGCTTTCATCGTTCAATATCTTGTGACCATATAACCAAACCTCCAATTATTTTGTCGTTCCTCCTAAAATCAGGAAGGATTTAATATATAACGACGCGAGAAGTTGTTTAGAGTCAATATGAACCTACCACCTTAAGGGAACGTCTTTAAGGTGTTAGGAAGTGAAAGACCAAACAGTTCAATACTATATTTTATTTCAAATCCTTTTCAGAATAGTTCAAAGTATTATGTAGAGTTACTATCCTCGTGGGAACGATAACTTGGGCACTAGTTATTACTTGATGCGTGCACTTGCGTAACTGGGTTAATATCTAGAGAACAAATGCATTTTCTCTTGATGAACTAAGTAAAGGGAACGTCCTTAAGAGCATCAGCACCCAAAAGCTATCTTCCGGGCTAATATTTCGTATCTAAGATGATGAATTTTGATCTTGTGTTCTTCATAGAAGTTGTAGATCTCTATTTTATATTTCCAATGAAATTAAGATTATATCAATCGAACAATTATAGCTCACTTTATTCCCGAAATATGAAACCATATTTTTGCTGTCAAAATAGCGCGTTTTAGTGCGCTAAAAGGCGTTTTAGTGCCCAGTTGTGACCCAATTAAGACTCATTATGTAGTTTTCACCTATAACAAGGATTTCTCAATCTATTTAAGCTATTCTTCATGAGTCTTTGACATAACTTGACACCGAGGGTGTAGTTTTCATCGTGGAGGGTGTAGTTTTCATCGTGGAAGGATGTTTTCATGCTTTTGAGAGCCGGAGACGAGTTGGATCCAAGATTATACTGGAAACCTTGAAGATTCACTGCGTCATCACATCAATGGAGTTTGGGGAAACTTTCTTATTTTCTTGATTCCACTATATATGTTAGAATAGTTTTATTTTATAGTTAAAGTTAGATGGAACCCAATTGAATCTTTATGTTTTTGAATGAATCTTTAATGTAATTTTCCCTTTCTATATTAAATGAATGTGTCTTTGCTTAATGCCTTCTATGAATTGTTCCTGTAGATTGAATTATGATTCGTATATGACAATAGGGATATTGGTATATGAATTTGGTTTGACTCATTCATCATTAATTTGTATGTTTCTAGGAATAGACATATGAATTGTGTCATATACCATTTTTATGATTCTTAATATTAATGCTTAAATCCTTTTGAGAAACACCAAGGAATTAAGATTCTCTTAAGGAAAGTAAAGGGTTATAATATCAAGAGACTGGGTTTTAACTAGTTTAGGGGAATTGGAGGGGCAATGTAAAAAAGGCAATTAATTAAAGTTTTAATTCAGAACATAAAGGGGAGATTAGGGGAAATCGAACCCCTAACTGTGTTTCTTGATTGTCAAGTTACTCATATTTTGCGTTCTTATTTTGTTATTTAATTTAGTTTTCATTAAATTTTCTTGATCAATTGTCCAACTTAAGCATAAATAGTCAATTAGTGGTTGAAATATAATCTTCGTGGGAATGATCTCTTACTCATACACTTTATTACTTTTATGACCGGTGCACTTGCCGAAGTCGCAATAAGTTTTTGGTGTCATTGCCGGGGATTAGTGTATTTCAACATCAGTTATAGCTATAAACACTTTTAGATTGGACCTCTAATTTCTGTTATTTAATTTTGTTTTTGTTATTTTGTTTTTTATTTTCATTTAATTATTCTATTTTTTGGTTTATGCAAGATACAGTTGACATCGGCTCTTTTCAATTTGATATAGAGATAGAGAAAACCGCAAAATAAAATAAAATAGAAAGCTTGCAAGAGAAAGGAAGCAATACGAAGTTTCAAGTTCTACTGTATTGAAGGAGGAAACCATGGTAGAGAATCGACTATCACCCCTTCCAAGGACAGTAAGAGATTATATGACTCCAGCTAGAATTCCCTCTACTACAAGTATTGTGAGGCCACCAGTGGGATGCGATCAATTTTGAAATCAAGCTACCACTACTGCAGTTGATTCAAGGTGATCAATTTGGCACAGGAGGCGCTGAGGATCCACACCTTTGTTTAGAGAATTTTTTGTTGTTATGCGACACTTTGAAGATGAACGAAGTTCCTCGAGATGATATTTTGCTAAGGTTATTTACATTCTCATTGAAAGACATAGCCAGGAGTTGGTTACAAGCATTACCTCAAGGAAGCATAACTACATGGAATGATCTGTCGACAAAGTTTCTAGCTAGATTTTTCCCTTCATTCAAGTTGGCTAAGTTGAAAGTTGAGATTTCTTGCTATGCTCAAAACGACAATGAATCATTGTATGAAGCATGGAAAAGTTTTAAAGGATTACTCAGGAAATGCCTATAGCATGGATTAAAGGCCTGGGAACAGGCTCAGATTTTCCTTACCCGGATGACTCCTGCTTCTAGATTGATGGTGAATGTTGCAGCGGAAGGGTCATTGAGGTCAAAAACTCCGGAGTGAACATTTGAGTTACTTGAGTCATTAGCCTATCAGGATTTCGATAATGCCCCAAAGCATCCAAGGATAGTGAGGATAATGCAGCTAGAATGAGCAAATGATGTAGATGCACAAGAAGCAGGAGAAACAATTGGATGCTCTTACAAAGCAATTATCAACTTTCCAAGTCTCTATCGTCAATACACCACTAGCAGTCGGTGAAGTTTGTGGAGGTGAACACGTTAGTGGCGAGTGTGACATTATAGGAGCACTGAAGTCAGCCAGGTGAACTTGATTTAGTATGATTAAAGAAATCAAAATAACCTCAGATCAACCATAACAATTCTTATGGTGATACTTATATTCCTAGATGGAAGAATTACCTAGGTTTCTCTTATAAATCATCACAATAGTTGCAACCACCTCCTTCTCAGCAAAATTCTACTTTAGAATTGGAAAAAACACTAGCATAACTCACAAAGACTATCATTGATTACATGCAAGGTACTAATATCTTCAAAAATAAGACAATTGCATTCATACAAGAAATACAGTCTGCATTCAAGAATCATGAGGCAACCATGAGGAATCAGGAAGCATCCATAAAGAATCTTGAGACTTAGATTGGGAAATTGTCTAGGAAGATATCTGAGAGGGCTTAGGGTACTTTTCCAAGTGACACAGTTGTGAATCCAATGGAGTATTGTGATGCCATAACTACTAGAAGCGAGAAAGTGATCCAGCCTATAGAGAAATCTTCTCAGGATAAGAAGAATGTTGCTGACTCTAGTGTTGAAAAGCAAAAGAATGGGAAAATTGAGGAAGCTACAGGAAGCTAGCATGAGAAAGTTGACAGGAAAGAGTTCAAGTGGGAAAAGAAGAAGTCTCAAAAGAAGCAGGACAAGCTTCAGGAAGTCTCACGTTATGCGCAAGCTCCTTATCCGTAGAGACTTCAACAACCGATTTAGAAACTACAGTATGCCAGTTTTTTGAATACCTTCAAGAAGTTACAGATTAATCTTCATTTTGCTAAAGCTTTAGAGAAAATGCCTTCTTATGTCAAGTTCCTAAAGAAGATTTTATCAAAGAAGCATAAGCTCACAAAGGATGAACCCATTGTTTTAACTGAGGAGTGTAGTGAAATCATACAGAGGAAACTGTCTCCAAAATTAAAAGATCCTGGAAGCTTTAGTATTCCTTGTAAAATTGGCACATTAATAGTTGATAAAGTCTCATGTGATCTCGGTGCCAGCAATAATGTATTGCCACTATTCATGATGACGGAGCTAGGAATCTTGGAAGTGAAGCCAACTAGGACAATATTGCAAATGGCTGACCGCTTCACAAAGCAAGCTTATGGAATTATAGAGGATATACTAGTCAAGGTAGATAAGTTAATCATTCATGTTGACTTTATTATCCTTGATACAGAGGAAGATGTTATTCTTTCTATGATCTTTGGAAGACCCTTTTTAGCAACTTCAGGAGCATTGATTGATGTACCTAAGGGTGAGTTGATATTAAGGGTGAAAGGAGAGCAAACGATATTTAAGGTTTTTGAAAAAAGAAGTTCTACCACCTATAGCTCAACCGAAAGATAAAATCTACTATACTGATGAAAAGAAAGATGAGGAAGAGCACAAGGAGAAGTCTCCTCAACCATATGAAGAATGCAAGCCAAAGGTTAAGATGGAAAGTCCAAGAGCAAGGGAAAACACAGAAAAGCTAAGTTTAGAGTTCTTAAGGAAACTTAATCTCATCAATATGCAGAGGAGTATTTGGAAGGGCACTATACTTGATCGAGGGGACATGGTCATCACTGAGCTCAGATTTTAAGCCACCATAACCATAGGAAGGTACGTCAGGCTTGTGACGCTAAACAAGTGCTTGTTGCGAGGCAACCCAACAATTTCCTGCTTTCGATTATTTTAATTTTAATTTTCCTTTATTATTTTGTTTATTTCTAATAAGTAAAAGATGTTGAGCTTAGTACCCTAATATTTTTTTTGAGCTAACCTTTTTAACCTGTGACATTCATGCTCATGTTCTTCCTAGTGTGTGTAGAAAGTTTTTATTTTTGGTAATGTTTTAGATTTAATTTAATTGCTAAGGACAACAATATATTAAAATTGGGAATTGAGGAATATGAGGCATTGTTTGCTACACTGCAAGGTTGAAGAGGATTTCATGAGCATACACTGAGTTATCCGGCTAAAACAGGGAACTATCTCAAATTTTTTCTTCTTTTTTTTTTTAATTTTTTATGTTACTTTTATTTTTTGAGTCAGTTTTGTTGCTTCCCACATCTCCATGGTTATTTTTGGTGAATACAAAAAAATTTCTAGCTTAAAAATTGGAAAAAAAATGCTTGATTAGTGACTGTGCATAAAAAAATGATTGATAGGAAAATTGAATAGTATTTTGATCAAGAGTATGATGATGTAACTTATTGTTTTCTATACATTGATGTGCACCGGTTGGGTAGGTTGTATAATACGCTGGAATATTAGGAGAGTAACTTAAAGTGATTTGAATAGAGAGTATGAAATTAGTCTTGCACCTATAGCCCTGAGCTTTTGAGCCTAAACATATAAATTTTTATTTGATGCGCACTTCACTATATGAAAACACTCTAGAACTTATTTTGTTTCTTTCTTGAGATGATTTGTGGTATATACTTGTTGAAATGATAAAGATATTTTCTTTTTCGTAACTAGATACCAAATAGCCACCCAGTATGTTAATCCCTTGATTAAGCCCCTTGAGCCTAAGCCTATTTATTAGTTGATGACCTATACATTTGAATAGTCATTCCACATACACATCCTCACCTGAGTTAGATTAGATTTCAGATTTAGAATGAGGAATTGAGAAAAATTATCATAATTGAATTATTGTTGCATGAGAGGTAAAGGTAAAAAAGGAAAAAGTCAAGGACACATGATGTGGTTAAATGAAAAAAAAAATGCATATACATAGAAAAACTAAAGGAAAGAGAAAAATGAAAAAGAAAGAAAAACATTGTAAAATTGAAAAGAAATTTTGCTTATTGGAAAAAGTGCAAAGGAGGAAGAGTTGGAAAAGAAGAATAAGTACTTTGCAAATGTGTTATATATTGTGTCTATTTCTCTTTGAATCTGACTTCTAATCTTTGAGCCAATGTTTCTCATTTCTTTCCTTTATTTTAGCTAGGACACATTACAGCCTTAATAAAAGACCTCTTAATCTACTTTGTACACCATTGAGACTATGGAGAGTGGGATTATAACCAAGCTTATGGTAGTGTTGATTCAATGAAGAATGAGTAAAACATATACCCTAAGATATTTGAGTTTAAGTGAGTTTAAAATCATAATGAGGGGGTGTTTTAGTTTAGTTTCCCTACTTTCTTTGTTGAGAACTCTTGTTACAATTCTATGACTTGTGGATTGTGAATATTTTCTTGATTTATTGCCTAATTATTTTTATACATTAAGCCTGAAAACTCCGTTGATTGTGATACTGATTGATTGACCTGTTAAATTCATTAGCACATGAACTCTTCTCCTCCCCCATAGTTTTATTTTAATTTGATTACTGAGGACAACAATATTCTAAATCTGGGAATAATTTGATAAACTCATATTTTATCATATTTTAAAGGACTAAAATAACATTATTAATTAGTCAAAAGTACGAGAACTTAGGGTTATTTGGCTAAAAAGTATTAACTTTGAATTATTGACTTATGTGAATGAATTTTACTTGTTTTGTAGGATAATTGAGTTGAGTTGGAGCAATGGAGAAACAGTTAAGTTAAAAGGACTTAAAGCGATAAAGGAGGAGCAACGATTTAGAGAAAATTTCCCTGAAGCTGTCTTTTGGCCAATTTTTGTATCCTAAGATGATGGATTTTGATCTTGTGTTATTCATAGAAGTTGTAGGTGTCTTTTTTAAATTTCCAATGAGACTTAGATCATATCAATCAGACAAGTATAGCTCAAGTTATTCCCAAAATACGAAACCATATTTTTATCGTCAAAATAACGTGTTTTGGCGCGCTAATGGACGAGTATAGCTCTCATTTCATGGTTTTCACCTAAAATAGGGATTCTAAAACCTATTTAAGTTATTCTTCACGATTCTTTGACAAAACTTAACACTAGGGGTGTAGTTTTCATCTGGGAAGGGCGTTCTTCATGCTTTTGACAGCTAGAGACGAGTTGGATTTAAGATTATGCTTGAAACCTTGAAGATTCACCGTACCATTACACCAATGGTGTTTGGGGAAGCTTTCTTGTTTTCGTGATTCCATTATGTTAGGCCATTTTTTTGGTAGTTAGGGTTAGATGGAACCCAATTGAATCTTTATGTTTCTGAATGAATCTTTAATGTAATTTTCCCCTTTTATATTGAATGAACGTGTCTTTACATAATTCCTTCTATGAGTTGTTATTGTATATTGAATTAGGATTAGTATATGACAATAGAGATGTTGGTATATGAATTTGGTTTGACTCATTCATCATTAATTTGTATGATTCTAGGAATAGACATATGAATTTTGTCATATACCATTTTTATGATTCGTGGTATTAATGCTTAAATTCTTTTGAGAAACACCAAGGAATTTGGATTCTCTTAAGGGAGGAAATTGTTAGAATAACAAGGGATTGAATTTTAATTAATTTAGGGGAATTGTTGGGCAATATAAAATGTGCAATTAATTAAGGTTTTATTTCAGAACGTAAAAGGGAGATTGGTGTAAATCGAGCCCCTAATTGCGTTTCTTGATTGTCAAGTTACTCATATTTTACGTTCTTGTTTTGTTAATAAATTTAGTTTTCATTAAATTTTCTTGATTAACTTTCCAACTTAAGCATAAATAGAGAATTAGTGGTTAAAATCTAATCCTTGTGGGAACCATCTATTACTCATACACTCTATTACTTTTACGACCGGTGCACTTGCCGAAGTCGTAACGTGACTACTCTCAATCAAACAAGTTTTAGCGCAAAGCATGTGTGAACTGCGTACATATCATTCATTCCCATATGCCACCTTACTTGAATATTCATTTTGTCATCTTCACTTAATCTTCTGCTACATATATACTACCTATCTTCACATAAAAATATTGTGAATAGTATTTGTGATATATGGCTTTGTAAAGAACCAATTCAACCCAAAAGCTTAAGTTGTTGGGTGAGGCTACATTAATGGTTTTATATATCTCTAACACGCCCCCTCATAAGAGAGCCCATTGGGCTTGAAAGGTGGATGATGCATCAGGCCCAGGCTACCTGCACAATCAACGTGGGACTCCTAACATTGCCACCCCTTTAAGGCCGACATCCACGACGGCTTTCACTATGATCCAGTGGTAGCCCTTTCCCCCTTTGGGCGGCTTCACCCACATATCAGGTAGCCCTTTTCGCGGTACGACTCTTAATGAGAGCACCAAACAATAAGGACACATGGGATCACTACCCCAAAAGCTAGTTCGAAGGGTGGGAGTGCTCAAGGCCTTATCAATCTCACACTAATTGCCTGCACAATCAATGTGAGACTCCTAACATTGCCACCCCATAAATCTGATACCATGTAAAGAACCAATTCAACCTAAAAGCTTAAGCTATTATGTGAAGGCCTATCAATGTTTTATATACTTCTCTAACACGCCCCTTACACGAGAGCCCATTGCGCATGAAGGGTGGATAATGCACAAGTCCATCTACCTTTGCTAAGAAATTCCACAAGAAAAAGTGGGAGCTGTGAGAATCAAACACATGACACCGAGGCTCTGATACCATGTAAAGAACCAATTCAACCTAAAAGTTTAAGCTGTTAGGTAAGGCTACATTAATGATTTTATATATCTCTAACATACTTCTTTTTTATTGTGAGGAAATTATTTATGAAAAAATAATAATTATAGGATTAAAATACTTTACATATACTATCTTCCATAGCTTAAAAGAACCCTTTTTTATTTGTTCTCTATCTATCTATCATAGCCATGCCTCCGTAGCTTCTTCTTTTTTCTTACTCACCAAACATACTTATTAACGATAAATAAAAATAAGACAAAAGATTAACCTTATCAAGATAAATGAACCAAAATCTGAATAGAGCTCGAAATTGTATTTTAGTAATCAGAGGACATTTCCATGGACTAATAATGCGTTGAGTTCGATTCTCGTTACTCCTTGCACTATTTTTTTTCTCTCAAATTCTCATAGTAGTTGAACAGATCCGGGGAGAAAGATTGAGGAGAAACTTTTGTTCTGCATAGTCGTATATATACTTGCATAACACTCTTCACAAACTATATCATAAACTACTGATGTACTTTTAATTTGAAATAAAAATGCTTAAGTGCAGCCACCTTAGCTAGCCGAATTATTTATTCGTGCACAGAAGTTTGAATATATTGCACATAACTATATTCCCCAAAGGACTATCTTCATACGAGTTTCTATCTCCTCCACAATACTTTTTCTTTCCCACTCCTAATTTTGTGGAGGAGAAAATATAAAAAACCAATAAATATGTAACAAAACACGACAGTTTTACTTAAAATAACATAGAATTATGTCATTTAAAATGAAAAATACTTTTCCATGATATATATTGCATCTCGTCACTTCTTTATAATGATGTACCCTTATAGTAAATACTACTAGAATGCAAAAAAGCCATTGCCTTACATTTCATTAACTTATTATACAGAATATTCTCCTATTGGTAGTTTCCATTTCAAACTTATAGCATAATTAAAGGAAGATGAGACTTATGAAAAATTGCATTTATTGACAGACGTAGATAGATTCTCACGGAGTGGATCCTCTTAGATT